CTTGTCTGGTCTATGTATCTAAAATAGTTCGGGTGTACGAGTCATACTTGCTAGGTTCATCGTATACTTAAAATGTTCGGGTGTACGAGTCATCTTGCTCGTCATATATACTTAAAATGTTCGGGTGTACGAGTCATCTTGCTCGTCATGTATACTTAAAATGTTCGGTGTACGAGTCATCTTGCTCGTCATATATACTTAAAATGTTCTGGTGTACGAGTCATCTTGCTCGTCATGTATACTTAAAATGTTCGGGTGTACGAGTCATCTTGCTCGTCATATATACTTAAAATGTTCGGGTGTACGGTCATCTTGCTCGTCATATATACTTAAAATGTTCGGGTGTACGAGTCATCTTGCTCATCATGTATACTTAAAATGTTCGGGTGTACGGGTCATCTTGCTCGTCATATATACTTAAAATGTTCGGGTGTACGAGTCATCTTGCTCGTCATGTATACTTAAAATGTTCGGGTGTACGAGTCATCTTGCTCGTCATGTATCGTGTATCCATATAAGAATTTGAATGTTCTGGTCAATTTACTGCTTATGCAACAATGTCTAAGTTGAAATGTAAGACTTTGGGTGTACAGTTAATCTAATTCTCATATGTTATTAGTATATTAGATCTGAAAGGATTTTGGTGTACAAGTCATCTTGTTCTGTAAATGTTTTGACTTGAGATCTTAAGGATTTAGATGTGTAGATCATCTTTGTAAAATACGCCTCACTTTAAGATCATTGAGTAGAATTTAACAGAAAATAAACTTTATTACACTGTAAAACCTAGTGTTAAAAACAATGTGTGTCCTGTAATACATAAGTCTGGTGTTTTAATAACTGTAATACAAGTCCAAGTTAAAAACTACAGTAATTGTGGGCTATCAAAACAGAACAGAAATGTATTGGCTGATGCACAGTCTTTTTGTTGAATCTTATATAATCTATATGCGCATAATATTGTTAATGAATTAACACAATGTATGGCATAAAATTAATATTTATGTTATTCAAAAACACAAAGTTTGTTTCATTTACAACAAAACGTTTTTTACAAAGTAAGTTCAAATCATGGGGGATCAACACACATTCTGCAAAACTAATATTACAGATCTTATACCAGTACACACTTGTGTGAAAGCATATTACAGAGCTTATACAAGTATATACGGGTATAAAAGCATAGTATAGAGCTTATACAAGTATATACGGGTGTAAAAGCATAGTATAGAGCTTATACAAGTATATGCGGGTGTAAAAGCATATTACAGAGTTTATACAAGTATATACGGGTGTAAAAGCATATTACAGAGTTTATACAAGTATATACGGGTGTAAAAGCATAGTATAGAGCTTATACAAGTATATACGGGTGTAAAATCATATTACAGAGCTTATACAAGTATATACGGGTGTAAAAGCATATTACAGAGTTTATACAAGTATATACGGGTGTAAAGGCATAGTATAGAGCTTATACAGGTATATGCGGGTGTAAAGCATGTTACATAACTTACATAAGTATATACGGGTGTAAAAGCATATTACAGAGTTTATACAAGTATATACGGGCGTGAAAGCATGGTATCATAAGGTTACAAACTGTGTGAGAACGAATTAGATTTGTCAGTGTCATGGAGAAAACCAAGTACATAAACAATAAACCAAATGAAAGAGCTTACAATAATATATTTTATAAGAAAGAAGCTTAGACTATGTTATTCTGGGCGTATGTCTTTGGAAAAACTTGCTGAACTACATCTATTTGAAGTTGCACATCCAAAGCTGTGCAAGAGTTGAGTAAGGAAAATGCTAACGTTCTTAGTTTTATAACTGTTACAAAAAACTAAGCACTCTATTTGATGCTTACTTGTTACACAATCAGCATAAGATAGAATATTTTTTAAAATTTTCTAAAGTCTTTTGAAAGCTTATTAATATACCGTAGGGACTTTAAAGCTTAACTTTAAATACATTTCGTGTTTGTCAAACAACTATTTCGGCAGTTATAGGACAGTGTTTATGAATAGTTTATATGCAGACAAATGCTCATGGCCACCTATTTATCGCTGAACTCACAGATCCAGAAGGATTATTATAAACTTGCGCAATCTGATTATTTCTAACCGCCATTAGCAAAGTGACGCGGGGCAATATTATTATTATTATTATAGTACATGAATAAAGTGCGCCACAGCATTTAACTTTTTTTTTCTTTTTTATGACTAATCAACGAATTTCATTTAAACATGATATTATCTTGAGCCAAAAGTATTATTTTTATAACAAAATATATGGTATTTTAAGTTTATGGGAGAGGCAATACGCGCGTGCGAGTTAAAACGAGACAGGTCTGAGTTCAGTTATACGCACCTTCTCTAATTTATGAGTTCTTTCATCCAGCCATTAAGAGATAAAACCTGTTAGTAGGACTAGAATTGTGTTTCTGACTGTTCCTGCAGTTTTAATTTTTTTGCTATTTGATATTGAACCTTAATATCAGTTTGTGTAATATTAATAATTACATTGATGACTGATTAGATAAAAAGACAGATAAAACTATCAGAATTTGCTATACATCACTAGTAATTTTAAAGCAAATGTTTTTGCTTTTAGACTTCGTTTTTCGGTCTGGTTTGCATTTCTTCTGGCATTGAATTTAAAATGAAAAATTGAAAAATTCACCTTGATTTTTTTTTTTCATCGTAGATGGTTCAGGCCATTCAAGTGTTACGATTTCATCTACTGGAGTTGGAAAAGGTAAGACTTATCAAAATATTTCGGTAAGATATGTTTCATATTTAAGTTTATAAATCTATAAACCTTATGTATATTTATAACAATTTTAGCTTCTACGTCAACATTTAAAAGTCATATGAAATTCTAAGTTCTTATTTTTATTAACTGAGGACAACGTGGTATATATTTTTGTTTGCTCCAGTGTGTCATGTTTCTGTATATATATATATATATATAAACAACTAGGTTAGGGAACTAATAAGAAATTAGGAACTCAGTAAAAGGGAGTGAAATCCGTGGGTAATTGGAAGCCTAGTAAACGATCGTTAAGGCAAGTGTAGAATTATCTGTTTATTAAATGTCGGTTCAGGCTAGTGGGTAATGGGAACTTTAGTTAATGTTGGTCAGGTTAGTTGGGAATTACAATATAAATAAACTATGGTTATGTTTGTGAAGACTGAGAATCGTAGTAAATTATGATCCCACTGGTGGGGAATCAGAATCTGGGTAAATGTTAGTCAAGCTAGAAGGTAATCAGAATGTTAGTAAATGTTAGTTGGGGATAGCGGGGAAAAGGATAATAGAACTAGAGAGGAATTAAAATCTTAATAAACAATGTTGTAGATAGTAAGGAACTAGAAGCTTGATAAACAATGATGTGGGCTTTGAAGAACTAGAAGCTTGGCGAACAATGATGTGGGTAATGAAGAACTAGAAGCTTGATAAACAATGATGTGGGTAGTGAAGAACTATAGAAGCTTCTTGAAGAATGATGTGGGCAGTGAAGAACTAGAAGCTTGGTAAACAATGATGTGAGTAGTCAAGAACTAGAAGCTTGGTAAACAATGATGTGGGTAGTGAAGAACTAGAAGCTTGGTGAACAATGATGTGGGTAGTGAAGAACTAGAAGCTTGGTAAACAATGATGTGAGTAGTCAAGAACTAGAAGCTTGGTAAACAATGATGTGGGTAGTGAAGAACTAGAAGCTTGGTGAACAATGACGTGGTCAGTGAAGAACTAGAAGCTTGATAAACAATGATGTGGGCTTTGAAGAACTAGAAGCTTGGTAAACAATGATGTGGGTAATGAAGAACTAGAAGCTTGATAAACAATGATGTGGGTAGTGAATAACTATAGAAGCTTCTTGAAGAATGATGTGGGCAGTGAAGAACTAGAAGCTTGGTAAACAATGATGTGGGTAGTGAAGAACTAGAAGCTTGGTGAACAATGATGTAGGTAGTGAGGAAATAGAAGCTGAGTAAACAATGATGTGGGCAGTGAATAACTAGAAGCTTGGTAAACAATGATGTGGATAGTGAAGAACTAGAAGCTTGGTGAACAATGATGTAGGTAGTGAGGAAATAGAAGCTGGGTAAACAATGATGTAGGTAGAGAGGAAATAGAAACTTGGTAAACAATGATGCAGGTAGTGAAGAACTAGAAGCTGAGTAAATAATGGTGTAGATAGTGAGGAAATAGAAGCTGGGTAAACAATGATGTAGGTAGAGAGGAAATAGAAACTTGGTAAACAATGATGCAGGTAGTGAAGAACTAGAAGCTGAGTAAATAATGGTGTAGGTAGTGAGGAAATAGAAGCTTGGTAAACGATGGTGGACAATGTGGGCAACGAGAACTTCGTAAACAGTAGGGTCTAGTTTGAATTAGTAGCTCAGTGAACATATTGCTAAGCTTGTTTCAAACAATATGATGACAAATAATTAACTTCCAACAGTTACTTTGCAATCTTCAGAAACTATTGTTACATCCAGGGTCAGTTGAAAACAAAGGTGTAGGGTCTAGCCCCTAGTTTTCCGCCCCCCCCCATGAATATTGTATGCTTCTTAAGCTATTTTAAAAGAGTTGGCATCTAAGATATTAAATACGCTTACAATCGCAGAAATTTACGACCTTTATTATTTTACTCACTGACAACTCTTTCTTTAAGCGGTGCATATTTGCATAATATTACAGAATTGTGGCGGTTTAATACACTACTGTGTTATTTCTATCTCCAACAGAAGTTATGCTCTAGAGCTTCCTAATGATAGTTACCCTCTTTGAAAACAGTCACATCCCTTTTTATTTTACTGATAAGGGCTTGTTGCAATAGATTTAATAACAAAATTAAAACGTTACAGCCAGTGAGCCGACGAAAGCCTAAATTATCAACGACTCAGTTATTAACATAACTACTACCTATTTTACCTTTATTTATGAAGGATTTTTAAGAGCATATCGTAAACCTACTTTGATTGCTTTTAAGCCTAAATCTGTGTAAGAATCTATATATACACATGGATAGAAAGCTTTATATCGTAAGCTAACTGGGACTGGGAGATGAATTATGCGTGACGGACACGGGGTTTTCTTTCCTCAATCCATTTGTTATCTGTGTGCCAGCATCTGTGCAGCCTGTTATTTTCTGAAGGTTATCATCACTAACTTAAAGACAATTACCAACATTTTCATGTCGTCAACCAGCTTGTCTCATAATCACCCTGCTACTGAGTGCAATAGCGATACAGAATGTAAGCATCCAACCATATTGTGACGGTGGGAGCTTTATTATAGAATAGAGCCTTGTTTTATTGACAAGATAGGAGGCAGTATCTGATTCTGGAGGCTGTTTTTATAAAAGAAATTAGCAAGGAAAAAAAAACTCCAGACGTATGAGATTACCGGTTTTTAATTTTAGTTATTATTCTATTCATAAGTCACATAGTATTTGTCTGGTCAAGTCACGTAACGTTAACGTGCACTAAGACTTGTATATGGGGAATGATTACACTGAATATTACAATCGTTGTTTAGGTACAAAGAACCAATGAATTTGATTTTTGTTTAAACATACTCATTGAAACCGTTTGTGTTTCTTCTTCCATTTCTGGTTTCAATATATATATCATTAAGATTTTAATCACGCAGCATTAAGAGGTCTTAAATCCAACTTCTGTTTATAGTTTGTTTGTTTGTAATTAACCACAAAGCCACACAACGGGCTATCTGTACTCTGCCCGCCACAGGTATCGAAACCCGGATTCTAGCGTTGTAAGTCCGCAGACATACCGCTGTGCTATTGGGGGCTTCTGTTTATAACTTATATAAGCTTGCTTATATGTTTCAACTAATTTTTGCGCCGGAATCAATATATACAGTACAAGAACTGCCATATCTGTTTTATCATTAAATTATGAGAAGAACAGAATATTGAATTTATTTGTACACAATAACTGTGTGTAGAAGTAAAACAAAAAAAAAACAAACAACAACAAAACCGCAGAACGTTGTTTGCAGATTACAGCACAGTTTTCTTTGTTTGTTTAAGAGCAAAGCCACATTGGGCTATTTGCTGTGCCCACCGCGCAGAATCGAAGCTCGGATTTTGGCGTTGTAATCCCGTAAGGTTACCACTGTCCCACCGCGGGACACGGCACAGTTTTCTAATCGAAATATAGAGAGTTATCTATAACCACCACCACGACGTATCGCTGGCCCATTTACTCCAATCGTTAGTTGAATGTGTTCGATGAAATGTTTGAAAGCCCCCCAGCGGCATAGCGGTATGTCTGCGGACTTACAACGCTAGAATCCAGGTTTCGATACCCGTGGTGGGCAGAGCACAGATAGCCCATTGTGTAGCTTTGTGCTTAATTACAAACAACAACAACAAATGTCTGAAAAAATAAAAATTATTATCTTGGACTAGTACAATTGTAAGACAATATATATACTAGCGGCTTTCAGACAGTAAGACGAAGAAGAAATTCAAAGACAAATAGTTGTGCTAAGATTTAATGTTATTCGTGTGTACTACCAGTTAGCAAGGCTGTTTTTATCAGTTGATACATAACACGCCAGGATAAGCATGTGGAGCTTGATAAATGAATGTTTTTGCAAAGTTCTAGCAGTCCTGCGAACTGTCAACGAGTTACCGTGATGACGGATTATTTCAATAAGGAGTTGGCGCAAAGTTTCAAAGTCGCACTTCTTTCCATTTCGCAGGTTCACGACTTGTGTGACAATTTCTGTCAGAGATACATTAGTTGCCTCAAGGGGAAGATGCCAATGGACTTAGTGATTGATGAGAGGGACACGAAACCGGGGGATTTAGGAGACAGTAACGACAGCACTGGCAGTGGAGGGGGAGGTAATCTAAATGGGTGCGGCGGAAGTGGGGCTGGAAGAGGGGGAAGTTCAACAGGACCCAACAGTGAACATTCAACTCCACCAGATCAGGTAAGGAAACCCAACTTTAATGTGATATATTAAATTTTATTTTAAAAACATAGAAATTACTTTGAACCAGATTATGTACGAATTCTGATGGTCGGTACTGAATTATTTCTTCTGAATCTTTTTTTTTTTTTTGCTGAATTTAAAACTGAAAAAAGAAATTATAGCATGTGTGATGGTTTACTGCTGATGTTATAAGTAAATGATAAGTCTTGAATATATAATAAAATGATACAGTTTAATACTAATAAGGTATGCTACGAGATGAAAAGGATTAAGTATTATTATTTTTCAATCCTTACTTTGGAGTCCTTGTAGTATGTAGCAGTGAGCTAATTTTGTCAAGATATGTTACTCCACATTCCTTGTAATTAAAACCGCGTGAACCAAGAAAAGCGTGTTACTATGACCCCAAGAATAATCCATTATCGAATATATCAAATTTATTATGCTTTTTTTGTATTTACAAAAATATGCTCATAAACGTAACTTAGCGACAGTATCCTTGCAATATTACCTGATTAATGTATAGATGAGCAAACAAAGAGACGACAATGGAAAGCAACTGATATATTTATACATGGTGACCATAAATTATCTTAAAAAGTTTGTTCACTCGTGTCTCAGAGACGTTTAAAATTCTGACGAAGTTCCTAACAAAATTTACGGACACCTTGTATTTATATACACTTGTCTATAAGTAAGGCTTTTGACAGTGTATAGTTTTTAAACGACGCATTTAATAATTTATGAACCAAAGTTTCTAGAAGTTACTGAAATGTTGAGCGAAACACTACAAGAATCGTCATATAAGGATTCAAAATTAGCTATCTGTGTTTGCCAGCTATCAACAATATAAATCAAAATGTCATTATTGAAAGATTAGTGTCTCTTGTAACAAAATACGTGGCGTTACTTTTTTCTTCACAGTCTTTTCTTGTATTGTATCGGATGGCAGTGGTGTAAAATGATTTAGTTAGTGTATAGGGTGTTGTTGTTTTTAAGTAAAAGTACTAGAAAGCGTTTTTTATAAATTCCACTTTTCCTGTAAAAATATTTAATCAGGAAGACAAATCTTATTAAGTCAGATTTCTAGACTAACCATTAACTATTATTTCGATTTTTTCGTGGTGTCACACGTTCATCAAAATATTTTCTTTATGATAACTGGAATTTGTTTTAAAAAAGTGTATTATTGTATTCAGTTTGTTATGGATTTCGCGTAAAGCTACACCAGGGCTATCTGCACTAGCCGTCCTTAATTTAGCAGTGAAAGACTAGAGAGAAGGCAGCTAGTCATCACCACCCACCACCAACTCTTGGGCTACTCTTTTACCAACGAATGGTGGGATTGACCATCACATTATAATGTCCCCCAAGTATGAAAGGGCGAGCATGTTTGGGGTAACGGGGATTCAAACCCGCGACCCACAGATTGCGAGTCGAATTGTATTTAGAAGCTTCCGTTGACCTATAAGGATACAATAGATTTCAATATGATTGCTAAATATGAGAGTTAACTATTACCAAAGTAAAGTCGATTCGAGTTATAGACCACACTAATAGTTAAGAGCTAAAAAAAATAGAATTATAAGAACAAAACAAGTTTCAGTATATCTTAAGATTTTTGAGACAAAACGAAAACACTTTTAATACTGTCAAACACTAGCTCAAAGTTTTTCATCCTCTTGTCAAAAAAAATCACACTCCGCACTTTGGGCTGTAGGTGCGTTATAAGAGTGACGAACAAACCATATTAAAGTAGCCCGGGAGTTGGAAGTGGGTGCTGTTGATGAACTGTCTTGCCTCTATCAGTTCCAAATTAGAGACGCCTAACACAGAAATGTAATAATTTTTAATATATTGGTGCTAGTGTGTCATAAATAAATACGATTAAACCAAAACTAAAAATCGCAAGCTGAGTTTAGAAATAAAGTTTCAAACAAAGTAACATTTCGTGGTAGTAACGTCAATTTTCAAGGTATTTTAGTAAAGGATTTGTACCACCTACTATACTTTATAAAACAAATGCATACGGTTGGAGACGGCTTGAATGGGTAATGAAGAAAAACTTTAATATAAGTTTAACACAACAGCAAATATACAACGTTTCGACAAGTTTTGTCATCCTCGTCATCGAATTTGAATTACATGCGGTTTTTTTTTCTATTTAAACAGTACATATTAAAACTATAAGTTACAATAAACTTATTGATAGTTCTTTGCTGTAACTACAATGAATGGAGTACACCAGTTGATAGTACTTGTTACACTGTAATGCCGTTACTCATATTACAACATTCTCATAACGACTACTTCACATACACAAACATTTTTAACGTGTTAAAGGAAGTTTGAAGTTATCTCTACCCTTTCACGTTATAATATCATGGGCGTCTTTCGTGAGTCCAAGCTGGAAAATCTCGAATTTCTGAAAGTGTAGGCAATTAAACGAACTGAATTGAAAGCTAAAAACAGAACCTCGATTTAAATAATAATAAATTAACAAGTTTCTTGGAGAACTGTTACCGATTCATACTTGCTCGATTGCACTTCAAGTAAGCGGTGTATTCTTGTCCAAAACAGGTAGATCAAGATATTGTTGTAAACTTCCAGCTTGAGATGATGACTTGTGAAACGATAAAACATCATGTGGTCACTGGCTATGCTTGGTTCGATTGATATGTGCCGAACGTGGCCCATTGGTTAGTGTGCCCGGACTTTGAATCTCAGAGTTCGCGACCCGTTGCTTCAGAAAAGCGCTATGCACTTTGAGGCTGTAGATGCGTTATAAAAGTGATCGTCAAGTCTACTTGGAGGTGGGTGCTGTTGACTAGCTACCGTCTATCTAGTCTTAACAGTTCAAAAGTAGGGACGATACTACATATATAGCCATTGTGTAGCTTTGTGAGAAATTCTGAAATAAAATCCCGAATTACTGAATCTAGTGTCAAACTGTAATGCCAAATACAAAAAAAATATTTGTAGATCTCTTATACGCACGTTCTCCATATCAGTTTCTAGTAGTTCTAAGAGTTTAAACAAGCATTGGTATTTTTGACGATTTCTGCCAAAATATATGTGTGAAGTCGTGTGATACGATAGGACTTACATGTGTCCTAAACTGTAAATATAGACAGACATTCTTTAAATATAGCACTGTATGTCACAAGTCATTATAAATTATGTGATGTTGGAAAGTTTATAGCATATCGTGACTTAACATATGTTATGCAGCGTTGTAAAGTTTGTACATCATGCATTGACATAACTTATACGATATTGGAGGCGATACATCAAAAGGTCAAAGTCCTTCGGCCATTCTCAAGAAATGAAATATGATACAAAACTGCAAGATATTTTACACCGAGAGTTGTTTTGGGTTCTAGATTTACAGCTGCATTTCAGTCAGTAAATTTAATGAAATTAGGTTTAAGTATGGGCAATAAAAAATTATTATAGTGATTTTTGATTATAAATTACATTTAATAGTTTATAATGTTAACACTTTAATGATCATTTACATTTAGATGTAAGATTACTCTGGAGTGTAAAAATATCCTAATTCTGGAAGAGTTAGCTTGTTAAATCAAAATAACAAAGAATTGCAAAATCAAATCAAACACTAATCACGGTTCAGTTTTTCAATTTATAAAGAGTTGAATATAAAAACTAACCAGTAGAAATTATGTTTCTTTTTGATTTCATTGAAACATGTTTCCCTATACTGTTCAAAAAATGTGTTTTTTTAATCACTGTTGGTATATTCTTCATTATTTATATATATATGTATTATATTATTACATATATGTTGTATCTCATTATTCAACATTTAACGCTATTAAATTCACATAAACCGTGCAAAAAAAAAACAAAAAACAATGTTCGTGCACAGTTCCTTGCGCTCAGTAATTAGTTTGAACTTTGTTTTTCACAAAAACGTTTATATATGTAAAATTAAGTGTACTGATAGCGACACTGGCGTTAAAGAAATTAAAGTTAAATATAATTCGCATAGAATTTCAAAGTAATTTTACATGTTTTTTTTTTCTGACACTTTGTGTCATTTATATATATATATTTTCATGTTATGAAACATTTTGGCTACTTGTTTTATTGTAAGAGACCCGTATCTCTGAAAACTGTTTCGGGTTTTATTTAACTCTTGCATATCATTGTTAACTTATATTATTTGGAGTTTAGCACTGGCATACCTTTGTTGATTTTTATTGTTTCGAGTTTTCTTTAGCACTGACATATCGATATTGGATAATATTTATGGGGTTTTATTTAGCACTGACATACCTTTGTTGATTTTTATTGTTTCGGGATTTATTTAGCACTGGCGTATCTTTATTGGTTTATATTGTTTTGGTTTTCATTTAGCACTAACATATCGTTGTTTTTATTGTTTCGAGTTTTATTTAGTATTAACATATCGTTCTTGGTTTGTATTGTTTTGTGTTTTATTTAGCACTGACTTTTCGTTATTGGCTTAGAAAAAAAAAGCAAAACTATAGCAATTTGTATTGGTTTTAAAACTAACGTCTTTCAACGATAAGTAACGATACAAACTGATTTAAACTAAGGAGCATGTATTCTATTGATAGTCACCATTTAAATGAGAAAACTTGAGTTTTTAAGTCAAAAGCGCAGAAAACACGAGCAGCGCAAGCAGTCATTTTCACGTTCTACTTTACAGTAGAAATATTCAAAGAGCAAGCTATAAGAAAAATGTCTTTGTTAAGTAGACAGCTTGTGACAGAGAGAAGCTTTGCTATTCTTCGTCTGAGTTGGCCGGCAGATTCACGGGGGTGATTTTCATGGGGTTCGTTTCAAGTGTGAAAGACGGTCAGATGAAGTCCGTAGGTACCCATTCACGTTTTAACGTTTGAAAAGACACCATGTCTGTACTTTGTTAAACAAGTAGACAGTGAAAAAAAGAGGAAAGAGACTTTTACCTGTTGACACTTTAGTCTCTGTAAGATCTTATCGTGATTCGA